ACTAACAAATAGTTGGTTTAAATGTAACTACATTAAAAGGATACTATTAGATTTCAACCATGCAGTTCTAACTATGTGGCGTAGAATTCATTTAATAAAATGAAAGAAATATAACAATTATAGTTTTTAACGCTTTGTAATATTTTAAAGTCAGTCTAGCTATATTAAAAAATAAAATATGAGAAATTATTTCCAATATTTATATATTTTTTAAAAACTATAATTGATAAAACAATTAATACATGAATACTAGTTTAAGATAAATATTTAAATATATGAAATATTTAAGTACTTATTTAGAACTAATTAAGTACTAACATACATAAACATCTCTACAACAACAATAATTGTCCAGACTTGACGCACCCCTTAAGAAACAATAAATAATAGAGATAATATTATTATTTTATCCTTTGATTTTATTAAATTTAATATTTTGAGAAATGTGTTAGATGATAAATAATATTTATTAGTAAGGGTAAAATAGACACAAAAAGTAAACTATCTCTTGATTTTCTAAACTGGACAAATATTGTTGGACAACTGTTTTTGGTATAGTGAATAACTATTGTTTGACTGAGGGAGTATTAACAAAAAATTGAATGTACATATATAGGATTATTATATAAGAATATCAAAATAAAACAATTAATGGCAGCTTGAAGTAGAATCGCCACTACTACTCTATTTTCTGTGGCGACTAATGTTTTTGCCGCTAAAATTAGTACTTTTTGTTGCAACCTTTTCAGATCGCCACTAAAACTAAAACTTTTGTAGCAACTAATTTAACCGCCACAAAATATCATATTTCTTGTAGTGGTTCCTATGTTTGTTACTTGAATTTTTACATGTTTGTATGCCTGCTTTTATGTGTTTTAGCATTATAATGATATTTCCTAGATTTTAGATGTCAAAATGAGGAAAAGATCGATGGTTACAAACTAACCACAAACCTTTCTATCAAGTTGTAAAAATATTCAGAGACTTTGTCAATAATACACGCAAAATTGGGCAATGTACGAAGCACATGCATTGCCAATAATTGTCATTGTGTAGTTTACTTTAAAGCATAAACCTCTAATTTGTGAGTTCCATGCTGAGTGTCATAAATTAATAAAATAAAAAGAAGAATAAAGTAGAGAGAGAAGAGAGAAGCCCTTTGTTTATAGGAAAAACGAATTTGGTCCTTAATTACAATTCCTAACTTTCCTAAAAGAATAAAATAGATATTTACTATAACATACTAAATTACTAATAAATATATTTGTAATAGATAAAATATTTTGAATATATTTTCTTCAACTTGTTTGGAATTAAGATATACATGAATATTAATTTTGTTTAGATAAGAAATAAAGGGGATAAGCCACACGTATCCCCTAAACTATAATCGAAATACCAGAAACATATTTTAACTAAACTAAGCTCCTACTTCCCCCGAGCTCAATTTTTTTGAAATTTTATATACTTTTTGACTTATATGAAACACTCCGTAACTTCACGTAGTTGAAACGCGTGGAAAATGTTTGAATGTCACGTAAGCCAAAAAAGTGTTACTATTGATGTTCCTATCTATTATCATGTCAAGCCTTTAGAAGTGTTACTACTGGTGTTGCTCCAACCTTACAAGGCTTCAATCCATTCTACATAAAGTGGTCAAGCAAATAAGATGATAATTTATTGTAATTTTCTTCTGCAACATTTTTTGCACATCTCGCGGGTACTATATTAGTAGTTAAATAGTAAAAGAAATGAAATTATAAGAAACTCTTAGAGTAATACTATAATTACTAGTAAGAAAGAACAATGAAACTATTCTTTACTATCTAACTAATCTTCTATTCTACTTTGTGTCATTTCACTACATCAAAAATGATCATTAGGCCCCTAAATCTTGTTAAATTGGTTCTGACATCACTAAGTGGAAAAATAATACGGTGATATAGTTGATGACACTTCATATTATCTGACATAGAAAATACTTCTCAATTAATAGAAGGGATAAGAATTTAATTTCTGTTTGATATTGCAATTATATCTTCCATTAAATTATTTCATAAAAAATATTAAACTTGACTTCACTTAATTATTGATCCAAAGTCATTTTTTAAGTTAAGCATTCATGTCATTAGTTGAAAAACAATACTTGATATAGTTGGTGACACTTAATTTTATTTAAAAAAATAATATACAGTAAAACCTTACTAAATCAATACTTGGTTAATTAATAACCTCTCTAAAATAATATATTTCTCCGGTCCCGATTGGACCAATGGAAATAATCACTCATTTTGATAAAATAATAAGATAATATATTTTCAGAAGACTCCTATATAAATATACGGTCTCATTAATATTATAAATTAATAATTCTTTAAAAGTACAAATATATCTAAGACAATTTAGTGAAATATGATTCTATTGTATTATGTTTTTTGTTAAAATTTAAATCTAGTTGAAGCTCATCTCTAACTTTTCTTATTACATCCAAAAGTTTCGGTGTTGTCTTTTCGAACTGCACCATAAAATTATGAAGATTTCTAAATGCGATAAATGTTTCCTTATGCGTAACTGGTTCCAAAGGTATTGTATCATCTTCAACTTTATCATCAACATTATTTTTTTCAATTGTATCCACAATTTCTTCTAAGCGCTGGACCTTTGAACATGTATCATTTTCACTCATCAAACAAGTTATTAACGTCCATTTTATTGCAGTAATCGAGATCCTTAAATTCATGACCTCGAGTTCATGAATGATGTTTTCACAAGTGAGTTTATTAAATTCTCTGAGATTTCATCCCTGAACAAATATTGCGGTGTCGAAACACTCTTTAAGTTAATAAATATTAATTTATTGATTAAATAATACATCTATAAAATAATAATATTTTATGGTCTCACCTATATTAATTTAGTGAGAGTTTACTGAAGTTGATGAGACATAATTTATTTTAATAAATAAAGTATGTAATATGATTGAGGGTGTGATTAAATCCCCGAAATAAATATATTGTATTAATTTATTGAACATCAATTTCACTGTATGAATCAATCCACAAGGTTAGGTTTAATTTATCAGTCATTGACTACACTAATTATTAATCCAGAGTCATTTTTTAGATTAAGTATTCACATCACAAGTTGAAAAATAATTGGCATAGTTGGTGACACTTCATATCATCTGACATAAAAAAACACTTCTCAATAATAGAAGGAATAAGGATTTAATTTCCATTTAATATTACAGTTATATCTTCCATTAAAATATTTCATAAATAAATAATATCAAACTTGACTTCACTTAATTATTGACCCGAAGTCATTTTTTAAATTAAGCATTCATGTCATTAGTTAAAAAATAATACTTGATATAGTTGGTGACATTTAATTTTATTTAAAGAAACAATATAGTAGGTGAGTCTTAATTTTATTTTAATATAAACAAATAATGGCTAATTTTAGTATTAAAATCATTTAATTAACACGACTTAGTCATAGGAGTATATTTTAATATATGTGTTTTTCTAAATAAATTAAGTAGAAATTATATTAGTTTCAGACATAATTACATGAAGATCGCAAAACTAAAAGATGGTTAGATTTATAGTAATTCCAGTTCGCATAAGTATTGATATGATTTAAATTGATAAATGTTATTAATGGAATTTAACCATACAGTTAGGAGTGTCAAAAGAGCATGAAAAATCGACCGAATCAATCGAACGTAATTGAACCGGATCATTGTTTCAATAAAATCATGAACATTGATCTAAGTGTATAACCGTCCCGAACAATTGAGATGATCTTTTTAATTTATGAAAAAAACCAAAAAAAATTCGAACCGAACCGAATAACCTTACGTACATATAAATTTATTTTATAACATTTTTCAACTATAAATATAACCTAGGTCCTCCGCCTCGGGTGACTGGATGACTTTGGGTCATTGCTCTTTAATTAGCCCTTTTTTTATTTAGGTTTAAAATTAAAAGATGCTATAATAGAAAATCTATTAAACAATATAGCAAAATCTATGCAAGCACTCCTATTAAATCTTTAAGATTAAACAATGCGGAAACAAAGTTTTACATTCATGACTTTTTAGAGAAGAATTAAAGTGTTTTTCAAGAACATATTTGCGAAAGAAATATTTTAATAATAATATATTCGAGGTGATATTTTAAGAGTAAACAATAAATCGAATATTAACCAAATCGTACCGATATTGAAGAGAAATCGATATGATTGGGATGATTTAAAAAAATCTAATTTTGGTTATACATTATAAAATACCCGATAAATTGAGATGATATAATTTTAAAAAAATAATTGACTGAACTGTTCCACTGACACCCCTACATACAGTTGTATATATGGAGTAAAATTCATTTTGAGTATATTTTGTCCTAACTTGTTTGGAATTGAGATAATAAATAAAGTAAGTAATATGATTGGGTGTGTGATTAGACCCCCGAAATAAATACTTCCTCCGTCCCTTTTTAGTTGTCCACTTTAGAAATTACACACAGATTAAGGCAACAATGATTAGCACAGTGAAGTTACAATTTTACCCTTATGACAACTTTTCACTTTAAAATTACAACCACTTATTTGAATTCAAGTGAAATAAATTGGAGGGAAACAACATACACTTTTACAATTTTCAAGAAGTGTAAATAAGGGTATAATAGGAAAAAATTTGTTGTCCTTTCTTGATTTGTCAAAATGGACAACTAAATAGGGACAATTAAAAAAGAAAATATGGACAAGTAAATAGGGACGGAGGGAGTATATTGTACTCCCTCCATCCTTTTTTATATGTCATCATTTTTTATAAATAGTTAAACCACAATACTTGTCATTTTAGAAAATTTATGCATAAATTATCATATTTTTGAGCCTCTTGGCTATGATTAAATAGAAAGTTAACTTCAAATATATATAAAGCGCGAAGATCTCATTACTGAAAAGAAAAAAGTAGCGTGTATCTTCGAGAGATGACAGATGCAGGGGTGAACTTTCTGGTGGGGAATTTGTTGGATCTGTTAAGTGGTAATATAGATCTGATTAGAGGGGTAGACGATGAGTTCAAAAATTTACTGGAAGAAGTGCAACGCCTGAAAGCATTCCTTGACGATGATGCTAAATTCCACAGCGAGAGCAGTTTATGGGATCAATTGGTGAAAGAAATTCAAAAAATGGTACATAAATCTGAAGATGTAATTGATAAATTTCTGATTCAATCTAAGCTGCATCGAGATAAGAATAAAGTTGGAAGATTCTTCGATGTCGGTCATATGGCAGTAGTTAGGGATCTTGCAGCTAATATTAAAGACATCCATGAGAAGGTGAAGAAACTTCGGCAAGACCATACAGATTCTTTCAGTCCTAAACCACTTCTTGACATCCCTGAAAAAGCCCACCAAGTAACCCAGGTATGCAACTTTCCATATCTTATTTTATTTTATTTTTAAAAATATATCGAATTAATGTTAATTAAATTAACTTTCGAAATTAAAAATAAATGAAAAGACTACTTATTTATTTTATGGGTAAAAAATGATCATTCATAAAATAAAGAAAAGTGGTAGGGGGTGGAGTGGTAAAAAAACATTTTTACCCTTTTTTTTTTTGGAATAGGGGTCGTGGGGTGGGGTGGGGTGAGCGGGCTGGTAGATTGGGTGACGAAAAAAACTTTAAATTTTTTAATAAAAGAAACAAACAAACTTTTTTTTGGGTTAGGAGGGCCAGGGGCTGATAGGGGTAGGGTGATAAAAAAAAGTTTTAAATTTTTTTGTTTCTAAAGCTTTTAACAAGATCCTTGCGATAATATGGGAATCCATATTTATTCATATTATTTATTGGATAATTAAGTTTTTATTCATTTAAAATATAAATCAAATACTTTATATATTTTTATTTAATTTGTTTTCGATATACTCATATTCAATTCTGACTTATTCGTTTTTCGCTCTTAGGCGTGAGAATACTTGCTAATGATAAATTTAAAGAACAAATAGAATAAAGACACGTGTCATAAGAAAAAAAAACTGCACCACTTACAGTCCAACCCCTTTGCCTGATATTATGGTAGTAAGATATCAAACTTTGTTTCATCTCTCTACCTCAACTTTGAAATAGAAGTAAAGTTTGACTACACTATATCCTATCCACTCTCTCACTCAGTGTTAGTACATTGGGCGTGTTGTTGGTTATCAAAAAAAATTTATGCTCATATCCTACTTAAGTCTTGGAAGATCTGTTTGGTAGGAAGTAGGAAATGAAAATGTTTTTCAATTTTTTCATGTTTGATTGACTTAAATGTTTTTCAAATTAATTTATTTTCCTCAAATTTAAGGAAAATGAATTTCCTTCAAAAATTAGAAAAAATATTTTCTAAAACTCTCCTTCAACCTCAAATTATAATTTGTTTTCTCACCCCAACTCATACCCCCGACCCCCTCCATTAAAAAAAATAAAAAATTAAAAGTTTGTTTTTGAAAAATATTTTCAAATTTTAATTTTTTTTAGTTTTTCACCCCACTCTTCCCCAACCAGGTCCTGGGTTGGATGTCCGGTTCCAATTCGAATGTCAGAGTTTGGTTTTGGGGGTCGGATTTTGGATCGGTCGTTGGGTTGTGTCTTAATTCGTGTGTCGGGTCATGTCCTAGATCAATTATGGAGGTTAGTTTCCATGTGAGAAATTATTTTCTTAAAAAGTACTCCTTCCGTTTCAAAAAAATTGATCTGGTTTAACTTGGCACGAAGTTTAAGAAATTAAAGAAGACTTTTGAATCTCGTGGTCCTAAATTAAAGTTATGTCAAATGTACAAAATTGTCCTTAATCTTGTGGTCTTAAACATGCCACATGGAAAGCAAAAAGTAAAATGTTACCAAAAAAGGAAATAGGTCATTTTTTTGAACCTGACTAAAAAGGAAAGAAGATCATTCTTTGTGAAACGGAGGGAGTACTTATTTTTTACTCTTTAATAAAAAATAAAATAAAATAAAATATTTTCTAAGTCATCAATCAAACATGGGTAGAAATGTTGTTGAAAACATTTTCGGCTCTGTTATCTAATGCAATCCGTTTGATTATTACATATGTTTAGAAGGGTCCTTTGGAGGATGATGAAGTGGTCGGGTTTGATGAGGAAGCTAACGAAGTGATGAAGCGACTTGTTGAAGGAGTGTCGGAAAGTGTGGATATTATCCCAGTAGTGGGTATGGCCGGACTTGGAAAAACTACACTGGCAAGAAAAATCTGCAATGATTCTAAGCTTTCATTTGAATTTTTCAGAATCATTTGGGTTAATGTTGGTCTGGAATACAAAATAAAGGATATTTATCTTACGATTCTCAACTTCTTCACAAAACACATAGAAGATCATTTCAACGAGGATGTGGACGCATTAGCTAAGACAATATGTGGTTTTATGAGTGAAGAAGGAGGTAGATGTCTCATTGTTTTAGATGATGTGTGGGTAGCAGAAGTAGTTGATGCTGTCAAGAAAGTTTTCCCCAGAAACAAAAAGGGGCATCGGATCATGCTGACCACGCGTGATGGATACCTTGCTACCTATACCAATCCAGATCCACATAATTTGAAGCTTTTGACACCATCAAATAGTTTTGAGTTGTTGGAAAAAAGGGCTTTTGGCAATGGAAATTTTCCTGTTGAGTTAGTTGAACTTGGAAAAAACATTGCACAAAGATGCTGGGGAGTACCACTTGCAACAGTGCTAATTGCAGGACTATTAAGAGGTCTTCGGAACAAAAGTGACTGGGTAAGAGTTGAAAGCAATGTATCGCAACGTCTTCATAACAAGGATTATGATTTTGCTTTATTTATAGAGATGAGTTACGATCGTTTGCCTCAAGAAATGCAGACGTGCTTTTTATACTGTGGCATCTTTCCTCGGGGCTTTGATATCCCTGCTTGGAAATTGATTCGCCTGTGGATTGCGGAAGGGTTAATAAAACCCCAGCAGTCATCCACTCTTGAGGAGATAGCAGAGCGTCATTTGAATGATCTTGTTCATAGGAATTTAGTGATACTGTTGCAAAAGAGGTCTGATGGTCAAATAAAGACATGTCGTCTTCACGACATGTTACATGAGTTTTGCAGAACAAAGGCTGCTAACAAATGGCTTTTTCAAGAAATATGTACAACAGTTGATAACGCTATTCCTTCTATACAGGACTCAGATACTTGCCGTCGATTGTGCATTCAACCATCTACTCTGAATGACTTTCTCTCCACAAAACCTTCTGCAGAACATGTCAGATCTTTCTATTGTTTTTCCTCGAAACAAAAACAAACTGACTTGTCTCCTAATGACATCAAACTCATTCACAAAGCATTTCCACTTATGAGAGTCTTGGATGTTGAGTCTCTCAAATTTCTTTTCTCCAAAGACTTTAACAATTTATTTCATTTGAGGTATGTTGCTATCTCAGGTGACTTTAAGGCCCTCCCTCCTACCTTTGGTAAATTCTGGAATTTACAAACTCTTATACTTAATACAAGTACCTCAGAGCCCACTCTTGACGTAAAAGCAGACATATGGAACATGTTACAGTTGAGGCATCTGTACACCAGCATACCTGCAAAATTGCCGTCCCCTACTATCACCACAGGTAAACCTTCTTGCCTGCAAACTCTTTCTTTAGTTGCACCAGAAAGTTGCAAGAAAGATGTGTTCGCCAAGGCATGTTTTCTAAAAAAATTGAGCATTCGAGGGCAAATGGCGGCTTTTTTTGAGTCCAGGGGTGGAATCAGCAATCTTGAAGAGCTTAAGTGCCTGGAACATTTGAAACTGTTGAATGATGTTCTTTACATGAATAAAACAATTCATCTTCCAGCAACATTCTTCAGACTTGTACGTACAGTGAACAAGTTAACTTTGGCAAACACAAGGTTTTCATGGAATGAGGCGGACAAGTTAGGGCAATTGGAATCCCTTGAGGTCCTAAAGTTAAAACAAAATGCATTTGTTGGTAATTCCTGGAAGCCAGAGATTGGAGGTTTTCGCCAGCTCCAGGTCTTATGGATTGAAAGTTCAGCAGAATTAGAATCTTGGAAGGCTTCGGATCGTAACTTCCCCATGCTTAGTCACCTTGTTCTTATCTCTTGTGATAAGCTCGATGCTCTACCAATTGATCTAGCTGATTTACCTAACTTTCAAGAGATGAGGCTGGAGAAAACGAGCAAAGCCATCGAATCTGCAAAAGCAATAGAGAAAAAGAAGACATCTAAGAGCATCAAATTCAAGCTAACCATATCATGTTGAAAGGTCAGTCAAATTCATTTCATCTGATATATATTTACAAGAGTTCTATCTGCAAAACTCTCCTGATCTCATATATTTATGTTTTCGCTTTTCTGTAGGTGAGAGAATCAAGGTGACATTGCTAATAACAAGTCTTGATTCATGAACAAACTTGGGGTACTCTTTATTTCGTGTCTTTTTTGCAGTCCATTCATCTAATAAACTTGTTCTAGTAAAGAAGATACTTATTTAAGTTGTAATTTGTGTATTAAAGCTTTGTGAACTTTGATAATAAGTCTTCATTTATGTTTGAAATAATTTTAGCAGATTTCAATTATTTGTTTCACTACAAAATACAGATTGAAACCTAGGGCCAAAACCGAATGACGGCCTCGGTTTTAAGACAAGACAGACTCGACTACGGCATCCAAATATGCTAGGGTTGGTTTAAGAAAACCGATGGAGTCCCTTGATTAAACCAAATTCAAGTATTTATTGTGACATTGAACAATTCCAGCACTAGTAACCTTTTTTCAACTTTACTACAATACAATTTTTTTCTAACATATCAGCCAATTCATGTCCAAATGCGCTCGTCTCATTGACTTGCATCCTTCTTAGGCTGTAAGTGGGTATTTAAGAGAAAATATAATACAAACAGTACTATATAAACATTCAAAGCAAGATTAGTTGCAAAAGGCTTTACTCAAAAGGAGGATATTGATTACTTTGATACAAATGCTTCGGTGGATAGAATAACATCTATTAGAGTACTTTTATCCTTGGCATTTATATATGATTTGTATGTATATCAAATGGATGTCAAAATTGCATTCTGAAATGGATGTTTAAATAAAGAAATCTGTATGAAACAATCTGAAGGATTTGTTCTTCCTGGTAATGAACATAAAGTTTGTAAGCTAATAAAGTTTCTCTATGGTTTGAAACAAGCACCAAAATAATGACATGAAAAATTTGATGGTGTGATATTATCAAATGAGTTTGTACATAACACTGCTGATAAATGTATTTACTCCAAATTTATAAAAGATTATGAAGTTGTCATTTATCTTTATGTCGATGACATGTTGATTTTTGGTACAAACATTCTTGGGATCTCTGAAACTAAGAAATATCTAACTTCAGTCTTTAAAATGAAAGATTTGAATGAAGTAGATACTATCTTAGGTATTAAAGTCAAGAGAAATAATAAGAGAGTGACTTTATCACAAGCCCACTATATTGATAAGATACTTAACAAGTTCAATCATATGGGCATAGAGGAATTTAATACTCCATATGATTCAAGTATAAAGCTTACAAAAAATAATGGAATAACAATGTCTCAGTTAGAGTATACAAGTGCAATTGGCAGTTTAATGTATGCAATGCATTGCACTAGGCCTGATATAGTATTTGCCGTTGTAAACTTTCAAGGTTTACAAGTAGTCCAAGTAGCATTCATTGGAAAGCTATAATTAGAGTACTTGGATATTTAAAGAAAACAAAACATTTGGGCATCTATTATAGTGGTTTTCCTACCGTATTAGAAGGATATTCTGATGTGAGTTGGATTACAAGTATAAATGATAATAAAGCTACTTCAGGTTGGATTACTTTGTGGGGTGGTGCCATTAGTTGGGCATCCAAGAAAAAAAACTTGTATTTCCCATTCCATAATGGAATCTGAATTCATTGCATTAGCAGCTGCTGGAAAAGAAGCGGAATGGCTGAGAAACATGTTACTAGATATAAAGTTGTGGCCACAACCTATGCCAGACATTTCCATATTCTGCGATAGTGAGACTACTATGTGTGTAGCTCATAATAAAATGTATAATGGGAAATCGAGACATATAAGGCATGCTTATTTAAGAGAGTTAGTTACCAGCGGAATTATAACTATAGTGTATGTGAGATCAAATAACAATTTGGCTGATCCATTTACAAAAGCATTAAATAAAGATGCAGTACAACAAACTAGTGAAGGAATGGGGTTAAAACTCTTAAATTAAACGCAAGTAACGAAAATCCAACTTTGAGTTAGTATACACTCTGACAATATAAGTTTAATGGGTAATAACAGTATTTGTGTTGTTTAAGCACGAGTCTCCTTGCTTAAATTCTTGATTCCGGTATACTGTTTACTATTATGGGAGGAGTTTAGAAGTTGTTAAATTTCTGTAATAACATAGGCATAATAACAAATTTTAAAGTGTATACTATTACAAGAAAGAGGATGAATTAATTCTTAATGAAATTAGCAAATATCTGTAGTAACAGGGACAGTCTATTACTTTAGCTAATTCATTCTCACCATTACAACGAAATTCTTCATTGGGTTCCGTATATGATTTGAGAATCCAATAAAGATATGCTTTTCTTCGCTGGACTGTCCACAGAAACCCAAATGTTGTTGGAAAATTTGGTTCTAATGTGAGATCACTCCATACTTTTCTTGCCAGTGTGGTTTTGCCAAGTCCATTATACCCACAATAAACCTCCTCTGTTTCTCCATCGATCACTTCATTTGCTTCTTTAATGAACCCAACAATTTGTTTAACCTCCAAGAATGCATCCTATATATACTCCATTAAGATTGGATGATGATAAAAAACAAAGCTTAACTACTCCCCTCTAGTCCATATTAGTGTGTTTGGAAGTGATCTTAGGCGTATTTATATGCCTAAGTTGTCGATAATTGCCCGTGTTTTGATTGAAGTAATGAATGATCTTTAGTTATTAGCTTGATTTTCATGTAACTTGCGATGATTGTGCACTAACGCACATGATTAGTTGTTTTGAGTAACCTTTTAAAGAAGTTGGAGTTGATTTGGAGAAGAAGAAGCAAAGAGGAGAAGAAAAGGGCTAAGGCAAGAACCACCAGTGGCTGGCGCAGCGCGCCACTGGTGGAACTTCAGAGAGGACTCTCAGGTGCGACGCGCCAAGGCCCAAAGTTCAGAGGTGCCTGCCTGGCGTACTGCCAGGCGCAGCGCGACAACACTAAAACTTCAGTGGCATGTGCCTGGGGCGATGGGAGGCGCGGCGCCCCACCCCTATCCCGACTTTTCCAGCAAAAACAAGATTAAATAGGACTCCTAGTTGAAGTAGAAGTTGGTTTCAATTTTCCTAACATCTATAAATAGACCCCTAGAGCTAAATTGTAGGGGGTTTGACATTATTTTGGTGTGCAAGAGCAAGATTCATCTTTTGTAATAGGTTTTGATCTTCCAACTCTTTTATTTTCCAGAAATCGCATGAACAATTGTATTTTGTGGTTTTCTAATAGTATGAGTGGCTAAATGCCCTAGTTTTGGGATTGTAGCTACGAATCGATTGTTGATTATTTAAGGTTCTTGAATTAATTCTTGGTTGTCATTATAAGTTACTTCTATAATCTTGTTTTAGTATTTTTTGCTTGATCACCATAAGATAAATCTATTGTCTAATCTTAAAATCGAGAGAGGAGGGGTTAGATAAACCAGAGAATATAGAGAGCTTGATCAATCCATTAAGTTGAGGTGATTTGTGTTCAGGAGTGACGCCCGAACGAACAACTTGATTGGTTACGAAACAGGATGAAATATAAATGTTCGCCAGCTAGGCCTGTTTATCCCCGCTCAACGATGTAGTTAGACAGCTAACTGGAGTAGGCGACTAGAGGTATAAAACCCGACTCATACAATTAACCCTGTAAACCAGTAACTAGAAAACTAAAATTAGTTCTAAGCCGAGAATATGATACATGAGATTCATTGCATGCTGTAGTCCTGGAATTGTCTTTTACTTGCTTGAAACATCATCTTAAAGTCGTTCACAATTGGTTACTTTTATTTATTGCATAATTAGTAGTAGTAGTTAACAATCATCACCATTTCTGAAAACGGTTACTTTTATTTTATTTGTAGAGTTAAGTGTTAGATATAAGTTGATCATAAGTCCCTTGGGAACGATAACTCGTTTCTTTAAGAATCACTATTACTTGAGTGACCACGTACACTTGTGTGTATATTGGGGAGCAACAAGAAGCGAGGAATGTTGGGATATATATATTTATTAAGAATAAATATTTATTTGCTTTTAATAGATCATATATTCGTTTATGGTGTTTGTTTACTTATATAGTATATGATTTAGTGTATATAGTTTTAACTTATACAAAACTGTTGAATGATGTTGTTTACATGAATAAAACAGTTCAACTTCCTATAACATTCTTCAGACTTGTACGTACCGTGAAGAAGTTAACTTTGAGAAACACAGGGTTCGCATGTAGTGAGGCAGACAAATTAGGGCAATTGGAATCCCTTGAGGTTCTAAAGTTGAAAGAAAATGCATTCATAGGTGACACTTGGAAGCCGGAGGTAGGAGGTTTTAGCAAACTCCGGGTATTGTAGATCGAGTGGGCAGAATTAGAAACTTTGGAGGCGTCCAATCTTAACTTCCCCATCCTTAGGAACCTTGTTTTTGTCTGGTGTGATCAGCTCAACTCTGTGCCGTTTCAGTTGGCCTATATACCTAACCTTCAAGAGATGAAGTTAGTAAACACACACAAAGCAGTCAAATCTGCAAGAGATATACTGGAACATAAGATATCTCAAGACATAAAATTCAAGTGCAGCATATTCCCTCCTGAAGCTGATCCAAGGCCACACAGTGAAGTTGAAAGGTCAGTCGAATTCATTTGTTTATCCGCCACAATTTTCCTCTCTTTGTTTCTGTTTTTTTTCTCATTTACTGAAACTTTTCCTCTTCTTCTGCAGGAGAGAACTTGGACATTGAGCTTGCTGGAAGCCAGAGATCATCAGACAAATAGCTAGCTGGAGTATTGTCATTTTCAAATAAGGCTAACTCTGTTGCATTTCGAGTTCCCCCTTCGTGTGGAAGCCACAGAAAAATAACTATTTGCATCTTTCCTATTTTGTTATGGTTATATTTGCTTTGTTTTCATTTGTGTAAAACTCTTGTTTTAATCTATTGTTAGTTTCTTTGCAATACTAGAAGAGTTTGTTGAATCGTGA